AAGCATCACGCGTTACGCCTAAACTTTACCAAGTTGGAATTTCCGAGAAGAAAATTTTAACAAAGCTTCTACGCCCTGACACCTTAGACCTCTGGTTTATGCGAGTCAGTCTCACTACTTACTCGTACCAAAGCCTCAAGTTTTGACTCGAACGGAGCCCCCAGTAGTTTATACGAGCAGTCAGCACCATCCTAAACACTTCTAAGCAAGAAACTGATGCAAATAAGTATATGATCTCTAATAAGAATTCAATAATCTTGAAAGAAAAGAAAAGCCATATTGCATGAATATAGATATATGTCCCTTCTAAGTTAGGTGCTCCTCACCCGAGCATTTAGCCCAACGGTACGAAACTCTTGCGGAATTATAGCAGAATAAGCATATGTGCAAAGAAAAAAAAAGAATCAAACTAGCAGAGAGATCAAAATCACCAACAGGTTTTCTTGCCATGAACATGTATGGATAACGGGCTTAATGTGACTGCGCCAGAACGAAGTCGGGTAAAATTTGTCGCGAGAGACTTGAAGCCGAGTTGTAGTAACATGATTGAGACTGGCTTGCACAAAAGATAGGCATTCGAAGACTTACAATCAAGTGTCGTTGCCGTATACGCTTTGTTTCCATTGGATCCCCAGCTCTTCTTAACTTGGCATCCGAGAAATCTTATCAAAGGAAAAGCGTGTCTCGCGTGCTTGCCGAACTTTAAATTTTTCCTACCTTTACTTGAGGACAAGCAAAGATTCAAGTTTAGGGGAGTTTGATAACGCGAAATCAAATATATATATATATATATATATATATATATATATATATATATATATATATATATATATATATATATATATATATATATATATATATATATATATATATATATATATATATATATATATATATATATATATATATATATATATATATATATATATATATATATATATATATATATATATATATATATATATATATATATATATATATATATATATATATATATATATATATATATATATATATATATATATATATATATATATATATATATATATATATATATATATATATATATATATATATATATATATATATATATATATATAATGATGTACTTCTCTACTAATCAGCGACCGTTCTCTCTCCGATTTCGGATATTTCCACACTATTTGCCCAGTATTTTGCAGGTATTCAAAGACCATGCTCAAATGAAGCAAGACAAAGAAAAGAAGCATTTACAGGTGAGAACCAGGTGAAAATCAGGCCAAAAAGCAGCAAAAACGAGTTTTGCTGATATGACGACCGTCACAAGGGTGTGACGACCGTCATGCGTGTGACGACCGTCACAGGTCCATGACGACCGTCATGGAGTTAAAATGCAGTTTTCTGCACGTGCTGTCAAGTGATGAAAATGCCAAAGAGGAGTGGACCACTAACTCCTATATTTTCTGATATCATTCCCACTTCCCGAAGAAATAAACGGTTGAATATCCCATCTATAAAAGGAGGTAGCTGGTACCAGAAAAAGGGAGCCGCATTGAAGAGACGAAGTGCTGCCAATTTACTTTCAGAGCAATATTCAGTTTCCCATTTTCTTATCGTTGTTTTATTTCCTTTTTCTTTCCTTCCTTGCAATTGTTGTTTTACCTTCCCATTTCTATTCTGTACGAGTAATTGGCATAAAGACTAAATCATGCCGCCATTTTGGAGGATTTCCAAAAAGCCAAATCAAATTGTTTACAGGTTTCTATTCTAATCGTAAATTGAATTGCGCTTTCCTATTGTAATGCATATTATTATTTTCTGCCATTATTTACGTGTTGTTAATTTATATTCCATGTCTAGCTAAATCTTAAGTAATCGGTATGTAATAAATAATCTGATGGGATTCAATAATTAACCGGTGTATATCTACCTTTTCAAAAACTTATTTATGGCTTCAGTTTTTAAATTGACTTTTCTAAATAAACCTTCGTCGCGACAGTGAGAAATTATTTACAGTAGTTTTGCCACGACAGTGGGAAATTCATAAAGGTACGAACCAACAAGCGACAGCTGAGGCTAAGACTAGATAGTAAAAACTAGGCATTCATTTTAAAAACAGCGACAACGCTTTAAAAGGAATTAGAACTTAATAGTTTTCAAAAAGTAACTTTAACCCCGAACGGGATAGCGACATCATACGTTCCGCCTTAGAGTTGCGACTAGCGTCAACAACCATCGTGAGACAAAGGTCTTTAAGCCATCATTTTCTTCTTAAACTATTTTTGAAAACCTAAAGACACCGGTGACCTATAGAATCCCTGAAGAAGTAACATATTACATACCGATTCAAGCATCTATACCTTAATTAAAAGCTTTAGTTCCCTTTAGTTTACGCACTTATTTCGTTATTATTCCCCTAAAATATTACCAACCTAGCTAAACACAGTAACTCCCGAAAATACTAGTTTGATTACGAGTCCATGTGGGATCTATATCTATTATTACTACGTGATAGACTGTGCACTTGCAGTTAATTGAGTTAGACATAGAAAGTCGCGATCAGGATTCAAACATTTTTTTACAAGTAGTAAACCGAAACTCGCCTACATTGTAGGGGGTGTTGTATATTTAACCCTAAGTTATTTGTTGAGTGTAATGTGGTTGAAATAGGGTGGTTGGGACAATTGTAAAAGATGAGTAAGAAGAGTGTAAAATGGGTTAGGGTTAGGCAAAAGAGAGTGGGGTGAGGTGGTGGAGTGGGTATTAGAGAAGTGGGTATTCTTCCCATTGTATGGGTGAGAGAAATTGGTAGGGTTATATGCATAAGTGGGAATGAGGTGTTGATTACAATGTTTTTAAAGCTAGTATGGTTCAAGGGTGAGGAAGATATACCCACAAAAGCTCTATTCTATGAGGAGGAAGTTGTCATGGATGCAAAATATGGAGTCAAGATAGAGGTGAATGCTGCAAAGTTGGCTTTCATGTGGTCATTAATATTGTTATCCAATTGATTCAACTCCATTAAAAGGTTCTGATTGTTGTTTTCCTGCTGACCTAACTGCATGGAGATGGAATGGTTGTTAGCTTCCATGGCGGTTCAAGGTTGTGGTTTTGGGTGATGAGTTCATCAATACGCTGGTTTGTGACTTGAAGAGAATCATCAAGGTCTTTTGGGGCAGGGTCTGTGATTTTAGGATTCATTAAGAAAAAAGATGAAAACACCAATGATAGATGGGTTATACAACTATTACCCAAACTAGGGTTTCACCATTAGACTTGAAAGTAAAATAAGAAAGAAAACAAATAAAATAAAATTTTAAATGTTCATATTCTATTCATATCATCTAATACACTTTAAATACTAGTTCAAATTTAATGGAACCAGTGACTAATAGACCAAAAAGAAAATAACAACTAATGGACCTAAGACCATTTGGAGGAATTCAAATAAACTTGTGCTATAATAAAATAATTCTTGAATAATTGAGGAACAAAGCTCTCCAATATAAAAAAGAATTGCTTTTACTTCTTTTGTGCTCAATCTAATTGCTAACAAAAATCTACTCCAAAATAGCATTTTAGTCCAAAATACCACCATACCCTCCATCCAACTAGAACATTCATTCAAGAGAGAATTGATAAAACGGGTCGGACCAACCAGGCTAACTCAAAAGTCTGCAAAAAAAATTCAAACTTGAAAAAAAAATTGGGGCTTATTTATTAATCAGACTTTTAAGCCTGACCCATAAAAAATTTCAATGGTTAACCGGGTTAGCCCAACCGGATAGCGGGTAGTCCGTTTATTTTTTTTAAGCTTAATTGCAACTTTGACCCTCCTATTTATTTATTTTTTGAATTTTGATCCACCCATTTTAAAAATCACGATTTTAGTCTTCTTTTTTTTTTAACTTTTTGTGTTGGATTTTAGACTCTAAAAAGGACCAAAATCTAACAGAAAATTTAGAAAAGGGATCAAAATCGTGGTTTTTAAAACGGAAGACCAAAATATAAAAAAGACAAAATAGGGAGCTCAAAATTGTAATTAAATATTTTTTTAATAGATTTCATGGATTTTAGGCCATATTATTAATTTAATTTGTCGAACTTACCGTTATCATTGAGAACTTCACTTTCTTTTGAATCCTAGTTCAAACTAGTTCAAATGCAAATAAAAACAATGTTCTAAGTCAAATGTTATAAGTTGTATTTTTGTGTGTATAATACCATTATTATTTGTTATTTTCTAAGTGAAATGAAATGTCATAATGTTGCATTTTCTAAGGGAAATGTAGTATTGTTATTATTGATGTTATAATAAAACTAGAGTATGGTGTGTACAATGAAGTAATGGTATACTATTCTTTTTTTAATAAAAAAAAACTCACTTTTTAATTTTATAAAATAAGAATATAAATATAAATTGGTCCGGTCCAAAAAAGCGTAGTCCGCAAAGTACTAGACTTGATCAATTAAATTGTGGCCCATTTATAAATCGGATTATTTAACTTATGACCCATTTATAAATCGGATTATTTAACTTGACTCGTACAAAACCCGAGTCCTATCATAGGTCAGCATGTCACGGGTTAGATTGTCTATTTTGTCTGCTCTAATTCAAAGTATGATATAAAATGTAAACTAACTAAATTGATTTTACAACTAGATGTTAATCTGAAATGAAGTATTTCAATTTGCATACGACCAAGGTAAACTTGAAGTAATAAATAGGTCATAGGTTCAATTTTTTTCACATATAAATATTCATATGAAAGACTCAGAAGTTAAGACTAGCCTACATTATCCAACAAATAGAGAAAAGGGAAAAACATGAGTCTAAGATGCTGATAGTGATAGTTGAGAGAATTTCTCATAAGAATCACATTGAAAACTATTATATTCGTACAGCTTATTGATCACAGACCCCACGAACATGGCCTAAAAACATCCAAAGAAAGAACAAACAGGTTCATGAGCATTCAACAAAGGGCCAAGAAAATATGTGAATAAACAATTTTATTGAACTATAAAACTGGATTAATCAGAGGCTTATTTGAAAAGAAGGCTTTCAAATTTTCCTCCACAACTTTGCTGATACCACTGAAAGACTCTGAAGTTACGACAGCTGCATGTGGTGACAAAACAACATTATCCAGAGAAAAGAACTCTTTAGGAACATGAGGTTCATTCTCAAACACATCCAAACCAGCGCCTCCAATCTCACCTTCAATCAAACACCTTAACAATTCTTTTTCATCAATGAGAGGACCTCTTCCAACATTCACTATGATTCCCTCTTTTCCCAATGCCAACATGACTTGTTTGTTCACAATGTGTCTTGTTTGGTCATTTAGTGCACAACAGAGAATAAGTACATTGGTGTTAGTTGCAAGCTCTAAGACACTTGAATAGAAAGGGTATGAAATTGATGGTTTTCTATTCCTAGAGTTGTATGATATCATGCAACTGAATCCTTCAAGCCTCTTTGCTACTTCTGAGCCAATTTTTCCCATACCAACAATTCCAATCTTTTTTCCTGTTAACTGAAACACCACTGACATGTTTATTATTAAAATTCTTTAAATACTGACAGCTAGCATGAATGCTTAATAAAAAATTTTTAACACTGGTTTGAATTTGTCTGAACTGTTCAAAGTATCGAACAAAGCAAAAAAAAATCATTTTTTAATCATTTGTCTGTTCTAACCTTTGTTTTATTTTTTTGATATTTATTTAACAACGGACACCAACGTATATCAAACACTACGACAGGCATATCATTGACCTAAAAGACATTTAAAATATCATTGACCTAAAAGACATTTTATAAAAATTATTTTCTTCATAAATTTAAATTAAAAAAAAAGAAAAGAAAAAGAAAAAGAAATTGCAGACCTTAGAACCAAGTGGAAAATCCCAAGAGGAAGGTTGAAACTGCGTTCTCAAGAACCGATCGGCAGCGGAAATTTTCCTACTCACGTCAATCAACAAACCCACAGCCATATCAGCAACATCTTCGGTGAAAAGATCTCCGATACCGGCGACCTGGATTTCCCGACGGCGACACTCAGAGAGATCAATGTGATTAGTTCCAGCGCTAGGGGTGCAGATGAGACGTAGGGAGGGGAGAAGTTGGAGGAGGTCGGCGGTGACAGAGTAGAAATTGCTACAGACAATTGCGGCGATGGAGGAGGCGTGGTGAGGATTGGCGGCGATGAATTGGTGGAAAGACTGACCGCAACCAGGGTTTAAGATGTGGAAGTTGTGTGAAGGATTGGGTTGGAGAACGAAGGAGAATTCGGGTGGAACGTGAAGGAATACTTTTGGGAGGTTGTTGTTGTTGTTTTGAGATTCTTCACTGCTGCTGTTGGTATTGTTTTGATCCGCCATTGGAGTTAGGTAAATAACTATAGCTTTGTTGAAAATGAATTCTTTACGACTCAATTAGAGTCACCTAGAGTCACCCACTTGTGATAAGAAAAATGCTATTTTGACACCATTTCTTACACCCATACATACACCGTATGCACTGACGGTTCACCGTATTTTATACGGTGAACAGTGTTTTTTTATTAAAATAATATATTTTTTTAAAATATTAATTTTAAAAAAAATATATTTATTTTTAAAATTTATTTTATAACATAAATATAAGATTACGCATTAACCAACTTCACAGTTGAATTAACCACAAAAATCTATATCATTAACCAATTATTTTACCTATAATTTATTAATCAAGTTCACTACTTCATTAACCAATGAAATACATATCATTAACCATGTTCTGAGCATTTTTTTCATATATTTATGAACAGTAAATTGGGTGTAAGGTGTATGAAAGGGTGTAAGAATAGCAAACCTGCTTGTGATAAAATGCACATAAACAATAAAGGAATGATATATGGTACGACGTATGAATTTAACGAATTGCAAGAATAATGATGTGTTTGGTTTTTATTGGTGGTCCAACAGATTAGTTGTCTTGTGCGGAAATCATGGGGTTGTGGCATTGCAGTCGTAATATATACACACTTCGTCGGTTTCGTCTTTCATGGGTTTCGTACCACAAAGCATTTTCCTAATCAACAATATACTACGCTAAAAATGTATTTTACTTTTTAGTTTAATAATACCTCTTCTAGTGGCATTTCCATCTAACCAAAAGCAACAAGCTTCTACTCTTCCAAGCTCTCTCGTTCTTCAAATCCAACAACAACCTCACTACGCTAACCATCACAACGACCTCTTCGCCTACATATTATTACTTGTTAGAGTTTTGAATATTGGTCATGACTCTCTTGGAATCAATGGAGAAAACTAAAATATGATTTCATTACATTGTTAGTTCCACTGAGTTTGATATATTTATAGATCTGATATGTGACCTAACATAGCAGATAAAACATAGGGCTGACTGACACTTGTCACTCAGTCAGTTATAACTGCTCTAACTGTAACTGCTAGTTAGTTACATGTTATGATAGATTACATTAGTTATATAGTTAGCTCATGTGAGTTTATATACAAATTTAATAATATTAAATGAATGACTATTTTAATAGCCCCCCTCAAGCTGCACCGTGGGTGATTTGAGCAGAATAAGACACTGTGAGCTTGCTTTTAAATTCTTCAAATCTAGACGCAGGTAGAGCCTTAGTGAGGATATCTACTGTTTGAGCCTGACCACGTACATGAGTGACCTTAAGTTGTTTGCCGAGCATTTTTTCTCTAACAAAGAATAACTCTATATCCATGTGCTTTGTTCTTGCATGAAAGACGAGGTTGTGACCAAGAGAGATAGTGTTCATATTATCACATAGGACAATATGAGTGGAGTAAGGAACCTAAAGTTTGGTTAGAAGAGACTTCCCAGAGCTATGTGACAAGGGCAAGACTTATGTATTCAGCTCAATGCTTGACCTGGAGATAACAGTTTGTTTCTTGATCCAATAGGAAATTAGATTAGGACCTATGAACATACAGGCTCCTGATGTTGACCTTACGTCATCAGGATCCGACCCTTAATATGCATCGCAGTAGGTTGCCAAAGGGACAAGAGGATTGGTGAAGGATTGAAGATGAAATCCCCAAAGAAGGGTACCTTTTAGGTAGAGCTGAAAAAAGGGCCGACCCGAAAGCCCGCCAAAAAATTCGAGCTTGAACAAAAAAAATAAGGCTAATTTATTATTCGGGCTTTTAAGCCCGAACCGTTAAAGGCCTGATGTTTAATCGGACTAGCCCGACCAGGTAGCGAATAACCCGTTTAGTTTTTTTAATGAATTTTAGACCTTATTGTTAATTTAATTTGTAAAACGTAATGTTATCATTGAGAATTTTACTTTGTTTTGAATAAACAATGAACCAAGGAAAATGTTATAAGTTACATTTTGGTGTGTACAACATTATTATCATTTTCTAAGTGAAATGAAATGTCATACTGGTGCATTTTCTATGTGAAATGTCATACTGTTATAATTTGACGCTATGATAAAATTAGAGTACAGTGTGTACAATATAGTAATAATGTTATATTATTATTTTTAAATAAAACGCTCACTTTTTTAATTTTAAAAACACAAAATTATAAATATAAACCGGGTCGGCCCGAAAATGTAGCCCGTGAAGGATCGGGCTTGGTCAATCAAATTGTGGCCCGTTTATAATCTAGGCTTTTTATCCCCGCCCGCACAAAGTTCGAGCTTGTCATGGGCCAGCTTGTCACGAGCCGGGTAGCCCGTTTTGCCAGCTCTACTTTTAGGTACCTAAGAATCCTTTTTACAGCAGTCCAATGAGATTCATGTGGTTGAGATATGAATTAGCACACTTTGTTCACCGCAAAAATATGTTCGATCTTGTGATTATGGCATACTGAAGTGCACCTACAATGGATCTGTATAGGGTAGTGTTTGTAAACTTATTAGGACTATCTTTGGAGAGTTTGAAGCCAACTACTATAGGAGAGGGTAGAGGTTTATGAAGGTGAGATAATACTTAGAAGGGGGGGTTGAATAAGTATGGAAAAATTAATACTTAAAAATAATCACACAATTATTTTTATCCTGGTTCGCTAAACAACTACTCCAGTCCACCCTTCCAGAGTGATTTGCCTTTCTCAACAAGAACTTAATCCACTATTAAATCAAACTGATTACAATAGTATCACCTAAGAACTACAGTTCTTAGTCTTCTCAAGAGCTACTGATTCACACTGAATCCTCTTAAGGAATATCCTTTACAAACAATGTAAATTTAATACAAGAGTTTTTAATGCTTCTATAAAGCTATAATCACAACAGTGATTTTTCTCTTAAGTTTAAGTACAATGAGATTCTATGAAGAATTTATGAATGAGAGCTTATAGAATATTGTGATTTCTTTTCAGCAAGTGTGTAGCACAGAAGAATGAAGTGAAGATCTCCTTTTATAGGCAGCTGAATCAAGCAAGCTGAACATTGAAAAGAGAGTCCAAAAGGTCTGAGCCTTTTTGTCTTCACATGCACTGACCTTTCCTTTAAATAGATGGCACAGATAAATCTTTTTTGTCTGTGTAAGTGTGTCTAGCACAAATAAGGAAAGAGACGTTGAATAGTTCCAACGGATACATTCTTGAAAACACTTCTTCAGTTTCAGCAAGTTCTTCAGAGTTTGAATGGATCAGAGTCTTCTGATGAGATTCAGAACTATGCTGTATCAGAGTCTTCTGATGAGATTCAGAACTATGCTGTATCAGAGTCTTCTGCAGCGTGTGTGCTTCTAGCGTGTTGATCATCAGAGCATCTTGACACAGAACTTCAGTACTTGGCAGCATAAGTACTTTCAGAAACTTCTGTAGACTAAGTGCTTTGAGAAACTCTTCAATCAATATTCTTCTATACTTCTGATGCTTCTGATTATCTTCAGATGCTTCTGACTATCTTCAGATGCTTCTGACTCAGAATGTTCTGGAGCTTCTTGCTTCAAATCCTTCTAGAGACTACGCTCAGGATCTTCTGTAAGGAGCAAACAGATTCTTCTGTAAGGTGCATATGGCGCTTCAGAGTCAGAATAGCTTCTTGTATTCAAGGCAGATTTGCTTCTAGAGAGTTAATATAATTTTAATCTGCAGTAAAACTCTCAAACAAATTTTAGAGTATATAATTCTTAAATATAAATTTCCTAACAGTTATCATCAAAACAAAGAGTAATTATTAAGAACCAATCTGTGTTCTAACAATCTCCCCCTTTTTGATGATGACAAAAAGTATCAGAAATTTTATTTAATTGAACATAAAGAATTATAACTCCCCCTGAGATGATGAATCTCCCCCTGAGTTGAATATGAAAAAGGAATAGAAACTTCCCTTTTTATCTTGAGTAATCTTCAGAGTCAGATCTTGTTTGTCTTTGTAATAATCAAGGGTCAGACTATCTTGCAGATATAAGATTCAGAGTTTGATAAAATATAAATGATCTGAGAAACTCAGAGATTCTTTTATAGAGTGTTCTTATCAAAAGTTCTGAAATAGTCAATTTAGATATTAGAAAGAGTAGATATGTCTGAAGATTCATTCTAGTGAAATTATATTAAATAGTTCAGATCTTTATTTTCTCCCCCTTTTTTGTCATAAGCAAAAAGTAAAAAACTTTAATAAAAAACAAATAAAAGGGATAATAGCAGATAATTCAATGGAGAATAACAATCTGATTCAATTAATCATAACAGAGCAAAAGTACATCAGAAAATATAACAAAAACATTCAGATGCAAAGACAACAGATGCACAAACATGAGAAAAAAAATCTAAGTGTGTTTAGACAAAAGCATCTTCAATAGGTTTGTGATCTCAGATTGTGATTGCTCTTGCTTTGACATGAACTTAGTTATTGTCTCATTCTTCTCATCTTGTTTAGACATCCACTCTGACATGTCCTCAGATTTCTTGTCTTGCTTCGCCATCCAAGATCTGATTTCAGATTGACCAGCTTCCAGAGCAGCAATCTTGTCTCCCAAATCTGGATTTTCTGTCTTTATCTCTGATGATGGAGGTTCTGTATCCTGAGCAGAGTCAATTGCCATATGTTCTGGAGATCCTGAAGAGGGTTCTACCAGAGTCATAGTCAATTCATTGGCAGTTGGTTCTGGTGGAGGAGGAGGTGGAGGAGCATCCAAACACAGCAGAGGTTCAGTCTTGTTGACAATCCAGAATTGAGTTCTTTCAGCTCTGAGCTTTGCATCATCAGAACAGATGTTCTTCAGATTAGAAGCCACAGTGTTGAATCTATTGAGAAATCCTTTCCAGATGATGTCAATCTCAATTGCATCCATAGTTTCAGAACATCTTTTCTGAACAGTACCTAAAGACATCTGTATTTCTTGCAAAAACGTTTGAAATAAATGTTCAATATTAA